TCTTCGGATAGTAACAATTTGAAAACGAAAAGTTATAGATTAATTATATGAATATGCATTGATACATTTAATTTAAAGAGGGTAAGAAACAAGAAATTGATGAATAACTTGTACATAACTTCTGGTTGATTGCGGCAGAAACAATTTTAGGCTTAAAAATCTTGACTAAACGTTAATTAGCAGGGGTGGGAGAGATATTGATAGGGTTGGAGATTGGTTGTTATTAAAACATTAAATGTGGAATTTAAATATAAAGATAATTAATCAATCCTAATTTTAAGAGATGTGGGTTTTTTGCTTGTATATTTAAAATATATTGTATAAAATATTAAAAGTGGAAATATATGTAATTATTTGAAAGTAGAGGTAAAATTAGTATATATGGTAATGATATATGTCTAGTTAGGTAGTTTTTCCTTTTTTATATTTGTCAAACACTTCCAGAAGTCAAAAACTAACTTAAAAATAAGTTTGACCAACTTTTAAACCAATTCAAAGTTTCAAACACCCTCTTAATCATTACTTAAATTTTAGCGGGAATAATTTAAAACATTCGACAGAATTGCATTGATTCTTACTATAACAAATTAAAAGCATCGCCTAAAAAGTAGTGTAATTTAATATCGTCGTAGGTAAATATTGAAAATATTGATGTAAATTTTGTGAGAATTTGTACATGTATTACTAATATGTGAATAATATTCAAATTTGATGCAAGTTACCATATCTTAACAATCATTCTTATAAGTTATGGTTCAATGTTCAATTTCTATTTTTCCTTATTATGAATTTTAAGCCTCATTCTAATTTATGAATGTTTCTAGATGATCTTTTTATAGTACAAAAATAAGGTTGTTGAACACTTCACTCACTTCATGTGACATATGCTTTACAAAATAATAAGTAAATAAGAGGTTTGTAGTAGTACCAATCATCCCCCAACCTCTTCCCCTGCATTGATCTTTACTAGTTTTTGCAACATGTATATGTTCTTGGTTTTTAGTGTGTTATTCATTTTGTTTGTTTCAGATTTGACTCGACATGAAATTTAAGATTTTTTTAAAAAAATAAGTCATATGAGATGTTGGCTGTAAAGAGTTAGATTAAATAAAAAAAATTGACATTTTTTCGAAAACAGATTAAAAAGAGAAAAGTAAGACAAATAGATTAAAATGGAAAGAATTTTTATTTTGCTCTCTATCTCTCTCTTCTATAATATCATGACCATGAGGATACAAATACATTGAATTATTTTGCAGATTCCGAAACCAATTGTGAAGTGCATAAATTATTATTTTTTATAACTTTTTATATGGACAAAGGAAAAATTATCTAAATATACAATGTTGGTTTGTTAGCATTTTAATATTAATATTTTAATATATTAATTTGCTTTATTTGGAGTTACAAAAATGCTGAATGCTTCAGCAGTTAATGGGCACTTATCATTGCTGCCGTTGGTAGTCATTTGTGACTAATTACTCACTTTGGTTAATCACTGTGCATATGTATTATTGCCATTATTTGGTGGTTACAAAAAGGTCTATTGGAGGTTACTTGCTGGACACAAGAAAAACGTTCCAGAGAACGTTGGTTCAACAATTTTGGCCAGCATCTTCAATGTGAATGTTACCCCTCACTTTATTTCATTCTTTAATCCTCCATTATACATTGTAACCTATGTAACTCCTGAGGCCATTATCTTCACTATTTATCTTTCTATTCATTGCTAGGAAGACTTCTTCTAGTATAAATAGTGATGGTCTTCATTTGGTTTGAGACACACAACACACAAGGAAAATATAGAGTGCATAAAGTTTGTCAAAAAGAGAGTTCTTATTAATTGAAGGGAAGTGTTCTTTTTTGTGGAGCTTTGGACTCAACTCTTGTCCAGAGTTGTTGAGTTATACTTTGTGAAAACTGTTGTATCCTGGAGGGGGCAAGTCAAGAAGGACTACTGCTGGACCGGTAGAAAACATTTACTGCAGTGGGCTTGAATCTCCTTAAAGAGAGCGAGATATCCGTGCCTCAGCCTAAAGAGATTTTATTTCTTCATTTTTATTTTCAATTGTAATCTTGTATTTTTTGTTATCTTGTAAGTTTTTCACTAACATACAATGTATTTTATCATAATCTCTAAAATTTCCTATCATTTAAAAAATTTCAAAAATCCCCTCTCGGATACATCCTATCTCTCTCGGATACATCCCTCCCCTCTCTGATACATCCCTTCCCCCTCGGATACATCCTTCCCTTCTATATACATCCCTCCCCCATGTATCCAGATGTCCTATCCCCTCTCTGATACATCTCTCCCCTATGTATCTGGATGTTTGCTGATGTATCCGGAAGTCCAGTGATATTTTCGGAATCCATAAATTTTAAGGAATTCTTATAATTAAAAATATAGTAGGAAAATAATGTAATTAGCTTTCAACACTATAAAATTTATGTAAATTATACTAATATAAATAGGAACCTCAAAAGGGGCTATTTGAGAAAATCAGCCCAGACCATTTTATAAGGCCCGATAAAAGTATATATGGAGTACTATTGTCTATTCATATTCTCTTTTGGATAATTTGCAAAAATATCCTTAAAGGTGAGCTTGAGAATTGTTGACTCCACTATTGGATAAAATTTTAAGTGTAACAAGTTTTCACTTTTGATCTTGAAAGTTTGTCCACGTGAACTTGAATTGTCAACTCTCTACTTGTCTAATGGACAAAATTTTAAGTGTAACAAGTTTTCACTTTTGATGGTGAAGGTTTCTCTACGAGACAACTCGAGATTAAAAATTAAAGATTATCTATTTTCAAAGTTGTTGGATCCTATTCTCTTTACACCTTGGGTTTAAAATTGATAATTGGCCAATTCTGTAAAGCATACCAAGAATGGATCAACAACAAATTTAGACTTTGAATCCATATAATTGGCTGAACTGCACCAATAGCCACTTTAACGTTGTTATTTAAAAGGGAAGAGGTACGAGTACCTTTCTAGACTATGACCGAAATCTCAGAGACACACCTTAACTAAACTAAAGTCCTATTACCCCCCCCCCCCCCCGAACCCATTTTTTTTGTAATTTAGTTACACCTTTTTGACTTATGTGGTATCCAAATATCTCCCACGCGCCTCAACTAGATGGAGTCACGGAGTGTGCCATGTAAGCCAAAAGGTGTACAAAATTACAAAAAAAATGAGTTTGAGGGGTAATAGGACCTTAATTTAGTTAGGTCATAGGTGTGTCTCTGAGATTTTGGTCATAGTCTAAGGAGGTATACTTGTCCATTATCCCTATTTAAAACTCAGTTACTTTAAGTAACTAAAATTAACCCACTACTTTTGTTATTTTTGTCTTGAATTCTATGAAACATAGTTATGTTCGATTTTTTGAAGTAGATTTAGGAAACTCATTGTCCTTCTTGTAGGTCCGGGATAAACATTAGTACTAAACTTATTTTATTTTTTCGAAAGTGTAAACAAATTTGTAAAGTATTAAGGAGCGAGTAAAGAGAAAAACTGAACAACTAATATAGAATGGAGAGTATATAATTTGAATTTACAGTTGGAAAAGAGAGGAAAATTCTATTGTTTGTTTTTTAAAGGACGGGACTTATCAACAAAAGAAAATATCCAATGTAGGCCAGGTTAGTGTCTAATTATTTTAAAGGCCAACGAGAGGGCTATTACTAATTACTATTATGAATTATAATTAATGATGAATGCATCTTTACACATTTGGGTTTCATAATTGCATTTGAACATGCCAAGGCCTAGCTCTACTCTACTGTCCATATTCTCACAATTATTATTATTTTCATGTCTTTATTATTTTATATTGTGAGAGGGATGTGCCATATTTTATTAAATATAGTTCTACTATTAAATTGTGATATTTGACTAAGCACAAAAAACAAAAGGACTTAACATATTGAACCATGTTTGATTTAATGAAGTACAAAAACAAAGATCAAGATAAGCATGTTTAATTCTTAATTAATGAAAATTTGCAAATTTTCATATCTTTTCTTTAAGTAGAGTTAACCTATTGAGTCATGACTAAATGACTATATCTATTAATTTGATATTCAAATTTGATAGAGATTGAATTTGAGCATGAACGGTTGAATGTTCACAAATTTTCAAGATGACGTTTCACCATTTAATTATTATGTGTTATCTGTATTTGTATTGTTACTTTATAATTAAGAGGATAATATACTTTTAAAGATAGATCAATATAATTATAACATACTTCTTATATAAATGGATCAACAACACATATTTTATTAATGAAGGTCAAATGTATCGTTGAGTCATATATCACAAATTCATTATGTGGTATTTTAAATATAAATTATAGAGAGCCTCCTTAATCCTTTTTGTCACTTATATTTTTACAATTTTAAAAATAGAGATGAGGTCTAAATAGTAACCTAAAAAGGAAATATTTTTGTAAATCAACCCTTAATTTGGATGTTGAACTACGTATATGACCCATATGTGCTAAAGTTAGTAAACATTTATCCCTTAATGTGTCTCACACCAAATACCAATATTCCTTCTTCGTGTGTTTCGTCAAAAAAATCAAAAGAGTAAAATAAAATAAAATACTCCCCGTTTAAAAAAGAATGATCTAGTTTGACTTGATCCATAATTTAAGAAAATAAAGAAAACTCTTTAATTTTATGGTTCTAAATTACAATTATTTCAAATGTACCAAAATGTTCTCTAATTTTGTGGCCTTAAGTGTCACGAGAAAAGCTAAAATTAAAGTGTTTCAAAAAAGAAAAGGGTCATTTTTTAAAAAACGAACTAAAAAAAGAAAGGAGGTAATTATTTTTTTTAAAACGGAAAGAGTAGCTAAAGATGAAAAAGAGCATGCGTAAATATTAAAATTGTAATGATGATTGATGAACATGTAACAACTAAAATGTTCCTTTTTAATTTTAAAAAAATCTTCAAAGGCAAAAACAAATTATAAAAAGCTACCTTTGTCATCCACTCTCTTCCTAATTCCTCTCTCACTCTCTCTACAACATTTTCTCTCTCTAAAATCATGGCAGCTACAACCACCACTAGGTGTGGCAGGGTTTTCC